CCTCCTGCCCACGGTCCCTGACACCACCCCGCCCCCCTACACACACATACTCTCATTTAAGCCTTCTAAGGTAGGTCCACGGTGCAGGTGTCCTGGGATCCTAGGGAGAGGCGAGAACTGGGTGGACAGTCTGTGAAAGAACGGAGGCTGGCTGGTTATTCCTGCCGTCTGTCCCCAGCAGTTTCCAGAAGCTGGCTCGGGACTCCTCAGTCGTCTGCCATGGCCCCGGGACTGCCCAGCACTGCCCGCCTGGCACGCTTCTGCCAGAAATTGAACCGTCTGAAGCCACTGGAAGAGTCTAGCATGGAGACGTCACTGCGACGCTGCCTGTCCACACTGGACTTGACCCTACTGGGTGTGGGTGGCATGGTGGGGTCTGGGCTCTATGTGCTCACAGGTACAGTGGCCAAGGACATGGCTGGCCCTGCTGTGCTCCTGTCCTTTTTGGTGGCTGCGGTAGCCTCCTTGCTGGCAGCCCTGTGCTATGCAGAATTTGGAGCCCGTGTGCCCCGTACTGGCTCTGCATACTTGTTCACCTACGTGTCCATGGGTGAAATATGGGCATTCCTCATAGGCTGGAATGTGCTTCTGGAATACCTCATTGGAGGTGCAGCTGTGGCCCGTGCCTGGAGTGGCTATTTGGATGCCATCTTTAACCACAGCATTCGTAACTTCACAGAGTCTCACGTGGGTGTCTGGCAGATGCCCTTCCTGGCCCGTTATCCAGATTTTCTGGCCGCTGGCATTTTACTTGTGGCTTCTGCCTTTGTCTCCTGTGGAGCCCGAGTCTCCTCCTGGCTGAACCACACATTCTCAGCCATAAGTATGACTGTCATCCTTTTTATCATCGTCCTGGGTTTCATCCTGGCCCGCCCTCACAACTGGAGCCCAGAAGAGGGTGGTTTTGCACCCTTCGGCTTCTCTGGCATCCTGGCAGGCACGGCCACCTGCTTCTACGCCTTTGTGGGTTTTGATGTCATTGCCGCCTCCAGTGAGGAGGCCAAAAACCCTCGATGGGCTGTGCCCATGGCCATCGCCATCTCCCTTGGCCTAGCAGCTGGCGCCTACATTCTGGTCTCCACTGTGTTGACCCTCATGGTACCTTGGCACAGTCTGGATCCTGACTCGGCGCTTGCTGATGCCTTCTACAGGCGTGGCTACAGCTGGGCTGGCTTCATTGTAGCAGTTGGTTCCATCTGTGGTAAGGGACCCTTCTGGGCAGGGTGGGAGGGGACAGGGTAGTGGGCCTTGCCCCAAACCTCTCAAAATACTTCTGCCCAGGCCCCGGTGTATAATGAGCTCACGAAAACACTGGTTTTCAGAGACTTGTTGGCAGACCGTCTCCCCACAAATTGTACATAGAATATCATTTTGGGAGCACACGCTCACAGGTCCTTCCCAGTCAGACTGCCAGCTCTCTTTAATGGGCCTAGACCTAAAGGGGAGTGGCCCATTCCTCGGTGGGAGGTGAGAAGCTAATACCCTCAATGCACACTCTATCTGAGAGCCTAGTAGCAGCCCTGCTGGGCTTATCTGCCATGCTGACAGCTCCCTATGCTCTGCTGCAGCCATGAATACGGTCCTGCTCAGCAACCTCTTCTCCCTGCCTCGCATTGTCTATGCCATGGCCGCCGACGGGCTCTTCTTCCAGGTGTTTGCCCGTGTGCACCCCCGGACACAGGTGCCTGTAGTAGGAATCCTGGTGTTTGGGGTCCTCATGTCTGTCCTGGCACTGCTGATGGACCTGGAGGCGCTGGTCCAGTTCCTATCCATCGGCACCCTGCTGGCCTATACCTTTGTAGCCACTAGCATCATTGTGCTGCGTTTCCAGAAAGCTTCTCCACCCAGCTCCCCATGCCTCGCCAGCCCTGGTCCCACAACTAAGAAGTACGACTCCTTCTCAGACCACATACAGCTAGTGAGTGCTGAACAGACCTCGATGTCTGAGACTGGGCAGCTGCGACCAGCCCTGAAGCCTTTCCTGGGGTTCCTGAATGGATGCAGCCCTGGAACTGCTGTGGCCTGGGCGCTTGGCATCTTGGTAGCCTCAGCTATCTCCCTGGCATGTGTGCTGGTCTTTGGAAACTCAGACCTGCACCTCCCACGGTGGGGCTACATTCTGCTGCTGGTCGTCAGTGGTTCTGTCTTTCTGTTCAGCCTTCTGGTCCTGGGGGCTCACCAGCAGCAAAAGAAGCAAGACACTTTTCAGGTACACCCCCATCCCCATCCCCCACCTTGTGCCTCACCAATACTGTTCCTTCTCAGGCCAACCTGTTCCCTTTACCCCAGTCTCTCATGCTACCTGAGCCATTCAAAAGGGCTCATGGGGCTGGGGAGGCAGGTTTATCCATTCCCACTTTCTCCAACATTCTGCATGGCGAGGGTACACCGGGCTCCAAATCTTCAGAGACAAAGAAGGGTCCTGTGGAACTTCCACACAGTCGGGCTCTGGCCTGGTATATCTATCCTGCAGCCAAGCTCAGCTCCACCCTTGCACCCTCAGATCCCTTTGGTGCCCCTGACTCCAGCCCTCAGCATCCTTCTCAACATTTGCCTCATGCTGAAGCTGAGCTACCTGACGTGGCTGCGCTTCATCTTCTGGCTGCTGGTTGGTGAGTGGGGCCTGGGCTTGGACAGGCCCACCGTGGGAGGACAGGGAGGGCAGGTGGGGCTGGGACCTGCCCCTCAGGCTCACGCCCACTCCTGCAGGACTTGTCGTGTATTTTGGCTATGGCATCTGGCACAGCAAGGAGAACCAGAGGGAGCCACTGGAGCTGACGACCGCACACTACGTGGTGTTCCCCAGTGGCAGCCTGGAGGAAACAGTGCAAGCCGTGCAACCTGCTAGCCAGGCCCCAGGCCAGGAGGCAGGGTGCCCGGAGTAGCTGGCCAGCCTGTGAGGCTGCCTCAGAGAGGGCCCCACATCGCCCACATCCGGAGGCCAGGATTGGCAGCTATCTGCCCAAGGAAGCTTGGGTCTGAAGCCTTCCCGGACTGGGCTGGGCCGGTTGTCAGTTCCCAGGAACTGATAATGGGATAGGCCTTGGCCAGTGCTGGTGTATACTCACTGCCCAGTGCTTTCCTGATTATGATCAACTCTGGATACCTGGGCAGGTGGGGCAGAGTGGGCAGGGAAGAGGCCCCAGCACCTGGGACCCCTAATAATAACTAATCAGCTAGTGTTATAATCAGCTGTCGTGTGCGCTGTGGCATTCTTTGTGGCACTGAGTTCTTACTTGCCTGAAGAACCAAACAATTGTCTCCAGTCCACAGCAGAGACACAGAGGTCTACGAAAAGTACATGCATAATGTGAAGAGGGGCATGTGGGAAGACAGGGTCAGATTCCTCACATGTCCTCCGTAAGGGTGTGTGTGTACGTGTGTGCATGTGCATGCATGCGTGCGTGTGTGTGTGTGTGTGTGCATGTGTGTGCGTGCATGTATGTGTGTGTGTGCGCGCGCGCATGTGTGTGTGTGTGTGTGTGTGTGTGTGTGTGTGTGTGAGTGGTGCTTGAGATGGAAGTTAGGACCTTGAGGTTGTTAGGCAAGGATTCCACTAGTGGTCTGTATCCCCAAATCTCTGACATGTCCTCTAGCAGGGTAACCTGGACTCGGAGAAAGCAACTAAAAAAGGCATTGGGTGTCAGCCTCTCTTGATTTTCCTGGGCTCCTGGGGATCAAAGCATGTGCCCAAGGACTGCCTAGGGACATTGAAATGCACTGAACACGGGTATACACCCACAAGACACTCCCCCCAGCACATTCCTGCATGGCCCATACGGCTACCCTTGGAGTGCACACTGTGTACAGACTAACTTGATCACTGTTTCCAAATCCAGGCTCCTGGCCACAGCTTACTCTTTTACTGTCTCTGTATACTCTGGGATGTTTTCAGATGAAGTCTTTGGGGCCCCTACTACTTGTTAATCTCCAGGGCAACAGTGTTCATGAGAGGCGGGCTTGGAGTAGTACATGAGTGGCACACTTGAGTGTGCATGGATGCACATGTGCTTGGCCCTGTGTCCACTACTAGGCAGCTGTGGGGCTACAGTTCAGAGAGGGAGAAAGTCCTAGGTCCACTCTGCACCTCCCTCTGTCTAAGGTAGATATCTCCCTCTTCTCATTCCTCCCTTTAAAGACTACACAGGAAGCTGCTTGCTTTGGCAAGCTTTACTTCAGCAGTGATATCACGGTTCTTTGGGTCCATCCCCAAGGACTACTGGGTCCACGTGACCCACCTGGAGTAAGCAGGCCTTCCCACCCTGTGTTTGGAGGCCAGAGCCCTGAGGGCTGAGAGACATCAGGACTCCCAAGGCTTTTTGGGGGATCTGGAGGTCAGGTGATCCTAGATGTTGGTGCAGTTTCAGCCTCAGCCCTGGGACTCCCCTGGTCACTGTGGTCCATAACAAAGCTGCCTCTTTCTTCCCAGGGGTGCAAACTCCATAAATTATGCCCCACACTTGGACCAAGAAACAGCTATGTTTCTGTGGCCCTATCCCTGCCATCCTTTCTGTGGGCTTTGGGGCATGGAGGAAGTCTCTAATCAGGGGGGAATCAAAGCCCCACATGAATACAGATCCAGAACCAGCTACCCTCAGTGTCCTTCATGGAGATCATACCTCAAAACTCCGGCACTCTGGCTGGGGCCAGACTTAGGGCCTCTGGAAGGCAGGTGCTTCAGTGTACATTGAGGTTGGCAGGAAATCCTAGATGTGCCACCTCTCATCTCACCTAGGCCCCTGAGAAACCTGGTGGTCAGGTCAAGGGGGCTGGAACCGCATGGCAGAGTCACCCAGAAGACAGAGAAGCCCGAGGAACCAGGAAATCAATGTTTCTGCCACATTGCCTTCTCCCCTCTCAGGCTGGACCCAGGAAGGAGTTCCGACCCCTGAACTTTAACCCACAGGGAGCGGCTATAAGCGTCAGGAATGGATAGGCCAGTGGATGACAACCACCCAGACAAGACCACTGGTGCCTGGATGTCTGGATCCCATCAGCGACAGACACGGGGCAGGTGCAAGTCACTACTGAGACACTGGGCAGCAGGATTTGCAGGTGTGGACGCCAGCTCGGTCTATGCAGTGTTGATGGTTGTCTTTGGAGCTTTTGCCTACAAAGATAACAGCTTAGGGATCAAGGTAACGTCCCCCAAAGTGTGGCAGAACCCAGTGTTCAGGCAGAGTGACTTCAGCTCTGGGACACAAGCAGGCCCACCACTCACTTCTTCATACTTGGTCCTCCAGTAGAAACCGGCTTCTCTATCCACATACAGTAGCAGCAGGTCACAGAGGAAGGTGACCTGGAAAAGGCAGGACCTACCATGTTCTAGATTCCTCCAGCCAAGCCCTCACCCAGGACACAATATGCAGGTCTGGTGGGTGCCCCAGGCCCTGGCGGGTGGTTACTGCGGCCATCGTGGACCTTAGGTTCAGACTTACCATGCCCAGCCAAGCTGCTCCTGTGCCCACTGTGACGGCCGTCGGGATGAGTGCAAACTTCCCTGCCTGAGAGACCTGGGCTGAGCCTCTGCGGCTGGGGCTGTCCTCCCAAACCTCCCCTGGTCTAAACTTTACCTTCCCAGTGACAAGAATGTCAAAGCGGATCCCATAGAGCTTGAGCAGGCTCCGGGCCTCCACACCCGAGGCTTCCCACCAGTGATTGGCTGTCCTGGGGATAGCAGAGAAGACGCCATTGGTTTGCATGCTGCATTTCAGGCCGGATTACCCACGGACTCTACCAGCCCAAGTCTTAGGCTCCATGTAGGCGTTAAGGAGGGGGAAAGCGTCCCAGACCCTGGGGAGGGCCCGACGGGAGGAGGGCCCGACGGGAGGAGGGCCAAGGAGGGCCCGGGGATGGGAGAAGGAGGGGGTGGAGGTGAGGGCTGGGGAATTCTGAGGCAGCAGTTCCTTTCCGCACAGAACCGGGGGAGGAAGTGACCCAGGCGCTATGGCAGGGCTCGAGAACGCACTCAGCAGAGAGAAGGTTGCCAGCAGGAGCAGTGGGCACAGAGGCGCACCCCACAAGGTTGTAAAAGGCGGGGAGCCAAGCACAATGAGTTCCGTCGAGGGGCGCTGTCCTTAGACGCACCTGTGCGCCTGCTACTATGTGCGATGAAATGCTATTAAGGGGCAGGAGGAGCCCAAGATCCTACTTGGGGAACTAAAAACATGACAATACCTGCAATTTAAGATCTCTTAGTGACTCTGGAATTGGAAAATGCAGATTTGGGAACATTACTAACACAGTGGGGGAAATATAAAATGTTAGATTTAATCTACCAACACCTTTTTCCTAACTTCCTTCCTTCCTCCCCTCCCCCTCCTCCTCTCCTTCCTTCCTCCTCCCCCCTCCTCCTCTTCTTCCTTCTCTCCCCCTCCTCCTCTCTTTCCTCCCCTCCCCCTCTTCCTCTTCTTCCTTCTCCCCTCCCCCTCTGTTTCCTCCCTCCCCTCCCCTCCTCTCCTTCCTCCCCTCCTCCTCGTTCCCCAGGCTGCCTCAGACTTGCTATAAAGCCGAGGATGACTCTGACCCTCATCCTCCTTTCTCTGCCTCCTGAGGGCTAGGATTAGGGATTACATCATGTTCTGTGACCATCTACCCAATGTCCAGAGTTGTCTGTGGCAATGGGACAGTGGTCATGCGGAAACATTCCTCAACAGCGTTGGGAAGGGTGAGTATCCAAGGCCTGGTATTTACTTTCGAATAGTTCTGAGGCCCTGGGTCCGGCCGCTAGCACTACCGGGGAAGAAAAGCGGGCCCAGCAAACCCGGGTCAGGGGTGTATAAATATTTGTGCCGCTGGTCTGAATTTTTCCACAGATTTTTTGGGGGGTAATTTTTAGGTGAAGTCCTATAGGGAAATTAAAGATGAGAGGTGTCTGTGCTCTGGAGAAGCAGGACCATCTGGGAGAGGCTGCACCAAGATCTGCAGTGGGGAGCCTGTACTGACAGTTGAGTGAGGGAAGAGGGGATGGAGCTGGGGACAGGGGACACCCACAGGACCCTTGTACACACAGCAGAGATCCTGAGGTCTGGGGACAGGGAACACCCACAGGACCCTTGTACACAGCAGAGATCCTGAGGTCTGGGGACACCCACAGGACCCTTGTACACACAGCAGAGATCCTGAGGTCTGGGGACACCCACAGGACCCTTGTACACACAGCAGAGATCCTGAGGTCTGGGAACACCCACAGGACCCTTGTACACACAGCAGAGAGCCTGAGGTCTGGGGACAGGGAACACCCACAGGACCCTTATACACACAGCAGAGATCCTGAGGTCTGGGGACACCCACAGGACCCTTGTACACACAGCAGAGATCCTGAGGTCTGGGGACACCCACAGGACCCTTGTACACACAGCAGAGAGCCTGAGGTCTGGGAACACCCACAGGACCCTTGTACACACAGCAGAGAGCCTGAGGTCTGGGGACAGGGAACACCCACAGGACCCTTGTACACACAGCAGAGATCCTGAGGTCTGGGGACACCCACAGGACCCTTGTACACACAGCAGAGATCCTGAGGTCTGGGGACACCCACAGGACCCTTGTACACACAGCAGAGAGCCTGAGGTCTGGGAACACCCACAGGACCCTTGTACACAGCAGAGATCCTGAGGTCTGGGAACACCCACAGGACCCTTGTACACACAGCAGAGATCCTGAGGTCTGGGAACACCCACAGGACCCTTGTACACACAGCAGAGAGCCTGAGGTCTGGGAACACCCACAGGACCCTTGAACACACAGCAGAGAGCCTGAGGTCTGGGGACACCCACAGGACCCTTGTACACACAGCAGAGATCCTGAGGTCTGGGGACACCCACAGGACCCTTGTACACACAGCAGAGATCCTGAGGTCTGGGAACACCCACAGGACCTTTGTACACACAGCAGAGATCCTGAGGTCTGGGAACACCCACAGGACCTTTGTACACACAGCAGAGATCCTGAGGTCTGGGGACACCCACAGGACCCTTGTACACACAGCAGAGATCCTGAGGTCTGGGGACACCCACAGGACCCTTGTATACACAGCAGAGATCCTGAGATCTGGGGACACCCACAGGACCCTTGTACACACAGCAGAGATCCTGAGGTCTAAGTTGGATGTGCTCTGTTTTGCTGGGTGCAGGGAGACAGATGGAGAGAGTACTAGACCAGGAACAGCAAACCAGGACTATGGCAGTTGGGACCATACCTGAAGTTGTACCCTCTCTGCTGCAGCTGGAAGGAGTACTGGGGACAGCAGCCAGAGCCCCTGGTGTCCAGGTTGCAGTCCCAGTGGATGCTGATGCCCACAGCGCCACCCTGCACACAGCACACTTCTGTTGCACTGGCACATGGGCTTGAGGCCCTAACCCTGAGCAGCAGGAACTTTGTCCCAAATGACTCACCAGCAATGCCAGGTCCTCGAAGTCCCCTCCAGCCATGGCCACAAGGTCCCCGATGCGGAACACTGGGCAGTATGGGCTGGAATGAGGATCATAGCGACAATGCTTGAAATAGGTGCTGTCCCAGGTATCTAAGGCGTTGGTTCTAGAAAGGACAGTGACAGGGATCAGATGACCCAAGAGGCATGGGGCATCTGGGCTCAGCCAAGTCCTGCCCATGCTTACTTGGAGAAGTTGAACTTGCTGAAGGTGACAGTGTTTTTGATGAAAAGTGTGAAGTTCTTGGCCTGAACTAGCAGGGGCTTCCTGAGGACAGATGGTGTACTGGCAGCATTTTGCTTATCCGAGGGCCCGCCCTGCCCTGGGAGAGAAAGGAGACTTGCCTGGGCACAGCAACACTCTCCACCGGGCACCAGCTCCAGATCTCACAGGTTCTGTGGGTTCCGTTGAACATCACACACCGACCCGTTTTTATGCCTTGAAAACACAAAATGAGCTCCAAGGCCTCAAGTCTCCATGGGTCCTGAGGAGGGTGTGGGGCACGGGCTTGTTGGCAGAGTGAGGTGGGGTACAGACAAGGACCACAGGGCCTGCTTTGGGGGCACACAGTATTCCCTCTCCTCCCTTTGTTCTAGCAGTGGTGCCAGAGGACCAAGCCCACAGTTACCATGGCTGTACGTTCCTGTCTCTCCTTCAGGGCAGTCCTTGTCTTCCCAGCAGTTAGCCAGAGGAACGGAAGGGTGCTGAGGTAAGAGAGACTCTAGTCACCAACAGCACAGGGACGCCTCCTCTTTGTGGCTCAACATCACAGACTACGATGACAAGACCCCTGGGATTCCTCCCAGGATACCCTGGGTTTGGAAGCACAGGGAAGGTACAAACTGTAGGCTGGGAGGAAGGAGCCATCAGCCTCCTGTGAGACGGGGTTCCAAGGGCAGAACAAGACTCCCGCTCTCCCGACAACTCCGTCCCTGATAGTGCACTGAGGTCCAGCGCTGCCGTCCAACTGGGATAATAGAGCAGGGGGTGGTACTAAAGAACCACAGAAGGACAGACTAGTGATGCCCAATATGAGGTAGTTGTAGCCATTGGAGAGCAGGGGCCTGTACAGGGAGGGAAGGCCCCCATACCTGCTAGGGCCAGTCTTTTCTGCCAAACACGGACTCTGTGTCTATGCAAGGCCAAAGAGTCATGGAGGTGCACTAGGAGCTAACGGTAGGTTCCTGGGGGTCCCCAACCTAAGAGAGGAAGGCAGCCTTGAGCTTCAGAATCCTTATGGGTATTCAGTTCATGAGGAACTCCAGGATGACACAGTACCATGGAAGCAAGAATGGCTGAGGGACTGAAAAGCCAGAAGGAGACGTAGGACTTAGCCGAGGTCGGAGTACAAGCTTTCTCTGCTTTGCTGTCCCAACCTGTCTGACTGTCTCCAGCTCCTTCAACCAGACTCCATGGTGAGATGTGAGTGCCTCCAACCGGCAGCCCAGGTGATGAGAGGCTGGGGGGGTGGGGGGCGGGTCTTTACCATGCACTCCCTCCAGCTACCTTCTGCTCATACATCAAGTCCAGCTTCTTAGCAGGACTCAGAGGGTCCATGAGATCTTGGGCCGTCATTTTTGTGACCCAGCCCTAATCTATGCTCCAGCCACACTGAGCAGCAGGAATCCCCAGAGACACCTCACCCCCTCACATAGCCTGGGCCTCTGCCCATGAAGCTTCCTCTGCCCTGGCATCCTGTTGCAGCCACACTGACCCAGATCACCAGCTCCTTTAAGATTTTGTCCATGTACTTCCCTAAGTCTCCCCACCGCAGCCTCTGCCTTGTGAGCACCATGGAACCTGCTGCCTTGGCTGGACCATGGCTGCAACTTGAGATACAGGGAGGTGGAGTTCTGCCAGCCCAGCCCAGGGCCTCACCTGTATGGGGGATGTGCTCAAGAAAGGTTTGCAGAGGGATATGACACTCTATTGAGCATGTGCTTGGAGGGACCAGGCCACTAATATTCCAAGAAGAGCAGGAACTCTGGTTGTCCTCAGACAACTGGTCAGATCTGGTGAGTTATTTCCCAGTCATGGGAGGTTCCCTGGAAGAGCCAGAAGCCCCAAACAAGGGAAGAGGGAAAGGCTTGTGCTTTCTAAGAAGTGGATGTGTTGGTTTGGTGAAGTTTTGGAGTTGTCTGTGTGGTAAACCTAGAACCAACATCCTCTAAGCATCAGGAGCTGAGGTGTTGTCTGGGTTCCCCGAGGGAGAGTCGCCCTTTGTGTGCATACATCACCTCGTTTGTGGATAGGGGTAAGCTATGGGCATATGACATCCCCTGAAATGGTAATGTCACCAAATACCAGAGCCTGGAGTCCAGCCGGGCAAAGGTTGGACTTGAATGTGGTGCTTATATATGGACTGGGTCCTAACTTTCACACAAAAGCCGTGGTTGTGAGAGCTAGTGTGCTCTTTGAAAGATTGTCTGGAATATTCACAAATGGAAAAGGTGAGATTGGGGGGGGGGGGGGCGCGATGCCTCCATTCCTTATCTCCATTCTGCAGATAAGGCAGAAGGCTCAAACATGAACACAGTTGGGCTGAAAACCACCCAGAGATCATCAATTACCTGAATGCAGAGGCAGAAGTGTGCTAGCTTGTCCCCCAGATGAAAGCTGACTCAGGATACACTAATAAGGCTGGTGAAGAGAAGGGGGGTGCTCTCCCAGATTGCCCCCTGCTCTTAATGCCCACCTGAGTGTGTGCTTGGCTGTAACCCAGAGGTGGGACCATCATGGGAAAGAGACTGGAAACTGCCTCCACTCAGAGGTCTGGTGCCGTAGCCCACACTTGGGGTACCTTTGAGCAAGTGACTGAAGCTTGGGAAGCACCAATCACCTATTTGATGGGAATTACAGTATTTCTGGTGGAAACAGATGTAAAGACTTGATGGAATGACTTCTAGAAAGATTTAGCGAATTGCCTGATATAGACACACCAAGCTCAGACTGAGTCCTGATCCACATGGGAAGGAGAAAGGAGACAGGGCTGGCGAGAGGAGTGGGGTGTGTTAGAGGCTCTGGACAGACTTACCTCTGGGCATCTGCCCTGGACTTGAGCTGGTGTCACGAGGAAATTGGTCACCAGGAAGAACACATTCTCTCCCTAGAAGGCAAGGCTGGAGGTTGGCCTCGACTGAACTCCACAGCCAGGGGCTAGAAGCTGACAGTCTGTTTGCTGTTTGCTACTCTCAGGGCTGGGAATGGAACCCCAGATCGCAGGCATGCTAGGCCAGCGCTCTACCGCTGAGGTATAGCTCAGCCTGGTAGCCTGGACTTCGTGGGACTTCTTGGCGCCAACTTTGTGCTGCAGAAAGCGATGACCAGCGAGGCACGTAAAGCGGGCTGTGTTTACGGCCTTTCCTGAGCCCAAGGAAGGGTCAAGCCGCCATCCGTGTCTTCCAAACAAGTTCCCTTTCAAATTCTCATGCACTCAAGCAGAATTTCCCAGAACCTCCTGACCCTAGGCACTGAAGATAGACAGTATGGACAGAGGGGGACTGCTGCTCACAGTGGACAGCCGGCAAGGGAGTGCTTGCGCAGAAAGCTGGCGCCACCTGGAGCCAAAAATGGTCAAGGCCAGGTAGTCACCCATGCACCCATGCACCCATGCTTAATATGCCTACAGGTGAACTCATTGGTTCACGGAACTAATTTGGAATGAAATTGGCCCATTGCTGGTGTGCTAGGTGAGGTATACAGACTTTTGTTTATGTCTCCTCAGGAAATGTCACGCAGCAGCTGGCAGTCGGAGCCAGATCAGCTGGGTGGAGGGAGAAGGGAAGAAGAGTGACTGGGTGGGAGGGGTCAGATTGCACCCTGACAGGCAAAGACAGGAAAAGGGACCGTGCCTCAGCCACAAGACGGCAAACTCCCAGCTCCTTCCTCACCACACCTATCCAAGACGAAGGCCTGCTGAGCTTATTTTTTTTTCCTGCCAGAAGGATGCCTGTAGTGCCTTTTAACTACATGGAGTGGCCTTAATAATTTCACCAATAGATGCCCTTCTGGATGAATGGTCTAGACCAGTTACGTTCAAGGCTGGTCCTGAGCTTGTCTCAGCTTGTCTGTACCTATGGGCCTATCAGCTCCTTCTTTTAAGTTGATCATCCAAAATCCAGAAACAGGGACCGATCCTGCACCACCACAAACATGTAAGGCCAGCATCCCTCCAAGGGAGAATGGACTTTGGTTTCTAGATCCCCTTCCCTCTGCTGGGAAGCCTGACTCGGTGGCGGTGGGGGGGGGGTGCACATTCACTTTTAATAAGACTTATTTGCTGTGACTGTGACTTATTTTCTGCCTTTTAATTCTTTTGTTGAGCAGTTTTATTTAACAATGTATATGAAAGTATGTGTGCTGTTTGTGTGCCTGGTGCCCTCAGAGGCCAGAAGAAGGCACTGGAACTCCCCCAGAACAGGAGTGACTGAAAGTTGCGAGGCACCATGTGAGCGTTGGGAACAGAACCCAACACCTCTGCAAGAGCAGCCAGTGCTCTTAACAGCTGAGCCACCTCTCCAACCTTTTGATTCTTTTAATTAATTTTTATCCTTTTAATTCTTTCATCAATGGAAAAAATGAACCTGATCCAAGATCCCTAATGGTAACAAGGGGACTTCAGAATGTTCAACCCCTGAACTCCTGTGCCCCTACCTTTCACTTCCAAGCATAAATCTTGAGCCCAAGGTACTTCAATCCTTTTCAGGTTTATCTTTGTGTGGGTGGTGGATGGGGAGGGTGTTTTTCTTTTCTGTTTTCTCTTCTTTTCTTTTCTTGATGGTACTAGGGATTGAACCCAGTGAGTTATGCCTGCCAGGCAAGCACTCTGCCTCTGAGCTGTATCTCTAACCTTCCTTTTAAAAGAAAGTTCCACAGGCACAGGCTTCCTGACTCGGGAAGCTACACGTCCCTGAAAGCCGTTTGCTCGGATTGACTCCGCACTCTTCTGAGAGGCCCTTTCCCTTCCCCAAGCCCTTCTCCCACCCCCTGGTATCACAGGCATCCTGGGTCTCTCATGCATAGCAGCAGGAGGCCGCTGTCAGTGGCCGAAGGACTCCAGCCTCCTACAGTGGGGACCTACCTGTGATGGCTTCACAAAGTCAGCCACATCCCATAGCCGGTTCTCTAGTTCCTTAATCTGGGTTACAGAAACCCCTTTGAGTTTAGTGATGACAGAAATGTGGGGGTCCACGTCCCATTCCTGGTAGCCTTTTTTGGCCAAGAGGGCCCACCTAGGGAGAAGGTGATGGACAGTGTAATGCGAGGAGATGAGGAGTGGCGGGGCCTATAACTCTAGGCTGTCTTAGTATACTCCAGAGGCTCCTTAGATCAGTGTGGAGGGCCTCAACCTTCTCTGCATCTGCACCTCTTGCTCTAGACCCCTGAGCAGGTGGAGCCTCGGATGGAGCTGTCCACCATGGCCACTTTTCACATGCCAATGCCTCCCATACACTCAGCAAACCCTGCTCCCTCCTTCAAGACACTTCAGACATGCAGCTAGTGGTCTCTCTGGGAGCCTTAGTGCTCCATTGCTCACAGATGCCAAGATTTACTGCCTCCTGCCCCACCGGGGTGTCTCTGGGCAGGAGTACTGCAGATGTACACAGAGAGCAAGGTGTACCTGGGAGCAATGTCCCTTATGTGAGCACATGGCTGCTGCTGTCTTCTGACTGGACTAAAATCCTCCTACTGACCACCTCTCACCACCCCCAATCCCACTCTCCCACCCGCTGGACTTCTAAAGAGCCAGCTTCTAGCCCTCAGCCAGCGAGGCCCACAGCAGTCTGTGCAGCTAGCCTGATAAGACAGCCTGATAAGACAGCTCTTACCCTATCACGTAGACCACCACTCCCAGCTGCAGCAGCCTCTGAGAGACACCCACCCGGCAGTTTCTGGTCATCACATACTTCTCGGTTTTGTAATCCAGAAACCCCCAGCCCACGAGTGCTGCCGCCGCGGCAGAAGCCATGTTCCCCGTTCCTGCTGGTCACTAGTGCGTGAGTCAGCAGGGCAGCTTCAGCCGCAGCTGAACAGGAGGCAGAACAGCCATGCATGGGATCCAGGCCAGTGTTAAAGGGACATCTCCATTCAGCAGGATCTGGCTCCTGGCTCAGTCCCAAACCCCAGCTGACCTAGGCCTCCCACCCCATCCAAAGTCCTTGGGTTGGACCCTATGCATACAGAGAGGAGTAATCCTGTCCCTGCCCATCCACGTCACTTCTTTATAGGGTGGGCAGTGACCAATGTGAGGTAACAGAAGCCCAGAGGAGGGCTCTGAGCCCAAACTTGTATATTCTAAAGTGCAACCGGTCAAGTTAGGTTTGAGATGTCCCCGCTGGAGCAGCAGCATAGCAAAGACTAGTTGAGAGGAAACTGAGACCCTCAGGCAGGACAGCACAGTTGTGGCTTCAGAGAATAACCTTTGCTAGACTCTAACAGGGTCCTTAGGTCCTCCCTGGAGCCGCCTCCTGCCCCCAAATACAAACTCTGGAGTCAGACTGGAAAAGTCCGTGACAGGAACATGGAGGAGATGACTACCCCTGTGCATGGCAGCAGTAGGTGCGGTAGTCAGCCCTGGTGAAGAGCGTGCCAAGGTCGTGGTGCTTCTGCAGCCACAAACAACACCCGGTTCCCCGGGAGACCGTGGGGTGGGAGGGCAGCACCATTACTGGCCTCAGTGACCACCTGTTGCCCGAAAATCAAATTCGATTGGTCGATGAAGTCAGCGGGACCGCCCACATCCCTGGGAGGCGCTCCAGGCAGTGAGCTGTGCCCCCACTGGAAGGTGAGGGTAAACATGAACGGTCCCTGCAAGGAGTCTGCGAAGAATGAAAATCAGAAGGGAGAAGCAGCGGCCACCGCGCGTCAGGCAGAGGCCCTGGAGGCCGAGAACTTCTGGACCGAAGAGTCACACTTTGCTCTGGAAACAGAAGGTGCCTCATCCTCCGCGTGGGGTCCCAGTTGGACTCCCCGGCAGGTGGTGAGAGTCCGGCTGGCACGGGACCGCGCCCTTCAGTGGGGCTGCACCCCCATTGTCAGCATCAAGTCCCTTACCCTCCTGGAGGCATGGGGAGGCCCAACGCTTAGATCTGTCTTGCGTAATAACCTGTAAATGAAACACCCTGACAGTGGCGTTCCACCTGGAAGGGTTCAGGGCCGGGTGTTCTAACCTATAGGAAAAAACTTAGCTAATGGATATATTGAATTTAGAACTGTTTAGAATTATTTTAAAATTAATTTAGAATTATTAAACACCATAAGGTATTTGTAAACATTATGACCTGTGGGCTGAGAATGTAGCTCTTGCCTAGCATGCTTGAAGCCTTGGGTTCAAGGCTCTTCTCCGCTAGCAAGTTGGAGACCAACTTTGTGGGAGAAAATGTGATCTGTGATGCTTGGACACGAGGCGGTGGGGCCAGCATACCCTTTAACGCTAGGCAAGTGCTCCCATTGGTTCTGACTAGCTCTGTGACAGAGAAAGTGTGGAACGAGCTAGTAGCTGCTGGCACTGGAGGAATCCTGGCGGGAGGGCGGGAAGGGGTGGGGCTGAGCCAATGGAGAGCTCCTCCTTTGTCCCTGTCTACTGTTAGGCACCCAGGGGCTTGGAGAACCCGTCCTGCCTACCCTCTATCTGGAGTCTTGCCAGGCCCACAGTGTTGTACCGGCTTCTTGTCTTCTGCGCCAAGGGAGTGCCTCCGAATTGAACCTTCGACACCGGGGCCTGGGGCCTCAGGTATCTGTCAGGGGACGCTGGAACCAGGCTGGGCAGGAAGGATGTGGGAGACAGTGGCCATCTTGTCCTTGAGTCCATCTCACAAACTCACAGCCTTCCCCCAGCCTTGCCTGTCCTGTCTCCCATGCCTGAGAGACAGGACGAGGGCTCCAGGAAATGAGATCTGATTGGCACTTAGAGGGAGAAGCAGATGTTCCCTGGAGAAGATGGGAGCTCTGGCCAGCTGCATCTGGGAAGGACCAGACCCCTCAGGGCCCTGTGTCCCTCTGCCCCTTGTACCTCTCTGCTCTGTTCCAGGGGGCCTGGGCTCTGGCTTCCACGTTGACCTCTAATCTCTACATCAAGCGTCTGGATCTTCGGGACAATGGGCTCTGTGGGGCTGGGGCAGAGGCTCTGGCCCATGTCCTGTGTAAGAACAGCATTATCTCTGGTAGGTGGATGCTGAGTTTCTGAGTCTGAGCAGCAAGCACGCTTGGGGCCCCTTTCCTCAGGGAAGTGGCTTCCTCACTAGGCCTTCTTACTGCGGGTGTTGCTAGGAGATGAGGGTCCTCATCACAGGGTGAGGCGTGTGGGGTGACTTTCTGGGAGTTTCTTCACTGGTGGAGCCAATGCTGCTCTTTGCCTGACCCATCTCACGGCTATCACTCCCCGGGTGAGCACCTCAGCCGTGCACAGGGTAGACTCCCAGTACCTGAGTGCTGGATGAGAGAGGCACAGAGAAGCAGCGTCTCGGTAGACTGAGAACTGGAAGGGCAAGGTGGGGGTTGGATGGGGCTGCTTGCAGATGAGAGTCTGGCAATGAAGCTGACCCAGGCAAGCAGCATGGCCATGTTTTCCTCGGTAAAATAGCCACAGCAGCACCGCTTAGCTCTCTGGGCTGTGGTCACCATCAAAGGGTAACAGAAGTGAACCCGAGTGGACATCTGAGCTCACACTGACATGTATGCTTCTCCCTAGAGTAGGACAGACAGGCTTCTGTGGCAGGTGATGTTGTTACAAGACAGCAACCATCAACAGGGTGGCTGGCCCTCTCCCACAGCGTTCTTCACAGACAGACAGTCATGGCATGGGGAGACCAGAGACCCAAAGTGACCCAGCCAATAGGCGGCAAAGCTGCCACCATGCCACCCTAGATAATCAGATTGCGAAGCCCCTTCCTTGGCCTCAGGCCTGCAGGGAATGCGAGAGGGTGGTGCCTGGCCGCAGTTCCCACTGACCAAGCAGTGGTGCTGCCCTCAGATGTGGACCTGTCAGAGAACCAGATTGGAGCTGCAGGGCTCCAGGCTCTCTGTGCCGCCCTTGCCTTAAACCCAGCTGTGCAGAAGATGCGACTGGGAGGGAACAGGCTGGAGGAAAAGGCCACCCAGCACCTGGCCGCCCTTCTGCTGCTTCCCACGGGCCTGAAGTCCCTAGACCTCAGCTATAATCAGCTCAATGACCTGGCAGGTAATACTGGGTCTGGGCAGTCATGGGTCATGAGTGCCCACTGGTGGCAGGGGAGAGGGATGGGCAGGGCCACACCCAGCTCCTGCCAGAAATAGCCCTGTGCTGGTGTCTGTTCACCATCCCTCTCTTGGTTATTCTTCCCCTCCAACCTCACAGAATGCTTAATTCCAGGCTGTGGGAATCTACCTACCAACAAAGCAAAGTTCCTGACTTCAAGAAACATACACTGACAAGACCATTCTCAGCAATTAGTGGCCTTCCAAAAGAAACAACGTATGGGTCTAGAAAAGGATGGACCACCCACTATAGAGGGGTGGATGTTTAAACTGAACATGTGTGGGTGTGTGGGGTGGAAAGGAGTCAGCCATGGCAAGAGCATGCTAACGGACTGTGAGCACGCAGGCTTGTTTCCTAGATTGGTAGAGACTGGTGTGGTTGGGCGGGCGACCCAGGGATGAATGACCAGGCTGTGGTTTGGAAAGCAAGCAGAGTCTGCGTGGCCTGCAGACCACAGCTGAAAGAATGAAGGTTTCACCCAAGTGCTTCTGTGAAAGGCTTGCGATACAGCTCAATGGTAGGGTGCTTGTCTCGTGCGTGTGAGATCTTGGGTTCAGTCACCAGTGCTGTGGCGGTGGGGATGCTAAGTGCTGTGAAGGACAGGGATCGGCTACTTGACCCAGTCACGGTCTCGCCGGGGCCTGTACGTGGGCCATACGCTTTGCCAGGAATATGAATACCCACCTATGCCATCTCCAAATGTGCCAATCAGTTACACAGACTGAAGCTAGGTATACCTATAGACTCGATTACCTAGAAGATCAGTTGAGCCTAGAAACTTGGGGGCAGCGTGGCTGCATGGAAGGGTCACCTGGGCCACGCTTTAGGGGTTTCTGTCCCCTGGAATGGCTGAAGCAGATTCTTCTCTTTAAACATTTATGTAAATGTGTGTGAGTGTGTTGTACATGTGTGAGTGCCTGTGTAGTCTAGAAGAGGACATCCCACATCGGAAACTACTGGGGTCCAGCCTCTTTAGTTTTCTTCCCAGGGGTCTAGAAGAGCTGCTACTAACAGCACCAATAATCTGAGGGAAAAGAATCGAAGTACACGGAGCTCTTTGGTCCGTCCACTTTATTCTTCTGAGATAAAATTCTATCTACACAGCTTCAATTCTGTCCTCATGCTCAGCTCCCCTCTGTCCCCTCTCCTCTCCTCTCATTGCTCTGGTTCTATCTAAGCTCTTTCCATCTTGTTCTCCTCTTCATCCTCTTTTCTCCGTCCATTTTTGTGCCTTCCTCCCGCACTCTTGAGATCGGCTCAGTACACCTACAATCTGCAAAACTCTGCCCTGCTTTCTGGTCAGGCGGGGCCACTCTGCTCCTAGCTAGGAAACCTGCCTCATGACTTCACTGTACTGAGTCAATCACTCTGGAAAGCCACTTGGGCTGTGAGAGAAAGGAGGGTCTGTGCTTCATTTGCAATAGAAACAAAGCTATGCACCTAATTTCTGCCTGTCTCTTAGGCCTAGGGGACAGGCAGTGTCTCTGTAAGGGTATTTACCTTAATTCAGATCAGAGGTTGGTCTGAAAAGCTTATTCTGTCTGCCGTTTTAGCCTAGGGTGCTTGAGAGGTATTTCAGATAAATACATTGTGAGTATGAGAACACACATGAAATTCACAGCAGGAAACAGCTGATATATTAAGAACCAAATAACACCAAATACTCCTTGAGATTTGGGTTCCTCTGGAAGAATTCCTTGATTCTTCCAAGTATAGCTTTACCCTATACAGCTGAATTTCTACTTCATATTCCTGTGGCTCATAGCAATCCCATCCTCTGCAGTAGGAGTTACAGATGGCTGTGAGCCACCCAATATCAGTGCTGGGAACTGAACTCAGGTCCTCTGGAAGAGCAGCTGGTTCACTGAGCTGCTCAGACACTTCTCCAGCACCTGACACAAATTCTTAGACGCCCATGTATCTGCATTGTAGTGGACATTGTAGTTGTCTCAGGACAATTGAATAACCAGGAGTTTTGGAATTTCTGGTCTGTCCCAAGCTGCTTAGATAATTGAGTGCAGTGGCGCTAACCTCAGCTCTGGAGTTTAACTGCTGAAGCCAATTGTTTTCTAAGAAAATTACTGTGGGAAGTCAGTGGAAGTAAAGGAGAGGCTCATCTCAGACTCTGACAAACTGCAGCAGTCTCTGCAACTTGAGAACTTAGGAGCCAGCTGGCTGTCATGTAACTAATACCTCCCATAACTGTCTCACAAAGGGAGACAATGCATCTGAGTTTATAGTTTACTGCAACGAACACCTCTGATAACCATCTCACAAAGGGAAACAATCCATTTGAATTCATAGTTTGGAGATTCCAACCTTTGGTGGATTGGGCCTGTGGCTGAGCAAGCATTAGAAAAAAGTCACTCAACTCATGGTCTGAAAGAAAGAGGTAAAAGAAAGAGACTAGAGTCATACAGTTCCCTCAAGGGAACCCCAAGGGGCCTAAGACCTTTAGATAATGTCATCTGCCACATCCCAATCTTGGCGACCAAGCTTCTTAGAATAGACTTTATTTTATTTTGTGTGTATGAGTGTTTGCCTGCATGCATGTCTCTGTACTACATGTGTGAGTGCCCAGAGGACAGAAGACAGATAGCATCAGATCCATGAAACTGGAGTTACAGTCGGCTGTGGGCTGCCATGTGGGTGCTGGGAGCCAATCTGGATCCTCTACCAGAGCAGCCAGAGCTAAGTCATCTCTCCAGCCCGAGGGACCAAGCCTTTAAAGCAGCGAGGACCTTAGGGGCGGGTTATCATAGAAGTCATAGACTACAGCAGACAAGTGACAAAGAGACAGTAGGGCTGGGGGGGGGGGGGAGGGAGGAAGGGCAGAGTCAGTCTGATTTGTTTCTCCAAGAGGGGACTGCAGGATGTGCAGGGGTGAAGGGCTTGAATCTCAGTCATGCATGATCTACGACGGTGGAGGGCCTGCCTGCAGGTCTGTGCCTCACAGGATGGTTGAGTCACAGAAGTAGAAGAGTGCGCCTTACCCTCCAGCTCTTCAGCAGAGATGGGAGGACACCTGCTGTCCTCTCCCAGATTTAGCAGTGTCCAGGAGAAGTGGGGGGATCCTGCATCTGAGAAACTAGAGGTATCAGATCCTGCCCTGGATGAGACAGTGCCCAGAACCTTAGCTGTGGCACAGGATACTCTCCAAGGTACTAATATGCTTGCTGCTGCAGGTGCTAGCCAAGCAGGTGGCTGGGAGCACTCAGGCTTCGCACGCACGCGCGCGCGCACACACACACACACACACACACACACACACACTCATGTACGTGCGAGCGCGCACACAAACACCATGTATTTCCTTGGTTTGATTTAGTTCACTTTGGTTTGGTTTTTGAGACCAGGTCTCATTATGCAGCCCAGGGTGGCTTGGAATTCACTACAGTGTTCGGACTAGCCTTGAACTAAGGATCCTCCTGCCTCAGTGTCCTCCATGCTGGGGTTATGGGAGTGGACCACCACACCTAGACCCTGTGAGCACTTCAAACCAGCTTTTGTGCTCCAGCCACCAAGATAATGAGAAGAGGCCAAATTTGGATCCTTGAGGGATTCCAGTCCAGGCACAGAGATCAACCAGGCAGGGTCGGGAGGCTGCAGGGGGTCACAAGGCTAGAAGAGTACGGGAAGGTGGAAGGACAGTGGATACGGGCTCTGAGGGGCCCACGCAGGCTGGAGAGACAGGTGTGGTTTCCCGAGTCTGCACACCCAGCTAATGAGGCTGAGACGCAGTTGGCCAGGTGGATAAGGGGGGTACCATGGAGAACCGCAATGGGATGCGGGTGGAGCTGGGGCTGTGGAGAACTGGGAGGGGTCACACCCATCAATGCTAACAGAATGGAGACCTGACTGCAGGGTGTGCCCCGCCCACTGGACATGCTAGGTATTGTCAGAGTTCCACCCACTTCCTTTTGCTACTGCTCCTCCTCTTTTCCACCACAGCTACGCCAGACTTGGAGGGCTCTGTCTCTGCCGGTGCCCACCAGCCAATGAGAACCTTGCCAGAGTGCTCAGCCAGCCTCAGCTCTTTTTTTTTTTTTTTTTAAAGATTTATTTATTTGTTATGTATACAGTGTTCTGCCTACATGTATGCCTGCAGGCCAGAAGAGGGCACCAGATCTCATTATAGATGGTTGTGAGCCACCATGTGGTTGCTGGGAATTGAACTCAGAACCTCTGGAAGAGCAGCCAGTGCTCTTAACCTCTGAGCCATCTCTCCAGGCCCAGCCTCAGCTCTTACAGCAGCTCCTGCGAACCCAGCTTGGCACTCAAGGACTCCCAAGTGTCCTTACTTCCTAGTCACTGCATCTGCTTTCTCCTGCCTCTCCTCCAGCTCCAGCACCAACCCAGCTTCACTGTGCATCTCTGTTGTCCATCGAGTGTGCATCTCTGTTGTCCATTGTGTGTGCATACATGTGGATTCCTCAGTTCTAGGTTATCTGCTCAGTCCTTACTTCCAGACCCCACCAACACTACCACTGCTTCTCTACCCTTTCTGTCTGTAGATTAGAATAGTTGGGATCTCATTACTTTGATTTCGTATCTTCCCAATTGCATGTGATTCCTTGCTGGGCATGGCGGCTCTTGTCCGTGTTGTCAACACAATGGAGGTGACAAGAAGAGGATCTGGAGTTCAAGGCCAGTCTGGGTGACAGAGTGAGTTTTAGACCTGTCTGTGTTGTAGGACAAGACCCTGTTCCAGTGTACACACACACACACACACACACACACACACACACACACACACACACACACGTTTCTTGCAGGTAATCCAGGCATACACTGAATTTTGTGACCCTCCTACCCAACAGAAGTTCTGACACATGGTGAGCATCAGGTCATTTTTTTGAACGTAGCATTTTATTTTGCCATAAAAATCTCTTTGTGCTCCTCAGGAGAGATACTTGGACCTGCCTTGGCAGAAAACACAGGCCTCACGGAGCTTAACCTCAGTTGGAATCACCTTCGAGGCCTGGGAGCCATTGCCTTTGCCAAGGGTCTGGAGGTATGAGACAGCTGCCCGCTCAGTCCCCAGAGCCCGCCTGTCCTTCCGAAGTTGTCCCTGAGCCCTTCTTAACGACACAGCTCTTCAGACCTGGGCTGCGGCCCTTTTCAGCACAGCTTTCACGGTGATCTTGGGTGGCCTGATTTCCTGCCCCCATTAAATGACAAAGGACTGAGTCTCATGTCATTTCATGACTAGATAAATGTCAGCTGCCTCCTCCAGACATCAGCTGGTGGGGGACATCTGTGCAGTCTGGTGACATTATTAACACAGAGATGCTCTTCCTGGTGCCGGCACACCCTCCCCGTTCATGCTTCCCTGAAAGTTCACAGACCCAGGAAACGCATGTTTCAAGCCCTTCCAGGGTATTTTGAGCATCTTCATTGTCCACAGTGACAGTGACCTTAGAAATGACAGGCACGGCCATGCCCTCTTACAGGGCTGACTGCAGTTGGTGGGTGGGGGTAGTCCTGACCCAGAAAGGGTCAGGTTAGAGCACTCACCCTTCCCTGATCACAGTCTCTTGGGCAGGCTTCATACAGCACCCTGCCACCAGGTCACTGGGCCCATGCAGTTTCTCTGTGCCCCAGTTTACCTGCCTTGGGAATTTCCCCATAGGTGTGGATTGATCATCTCTGAGAATTGTCCGTAGCTCTACCCATCATCCTCTGCTGCTCTTCAAGTTGTTTGGCCCTAGTGGTCACTGCTGCCTGAGAACTCATGCTAACTCTCTCCCAGGACCTGTGTCTTTTATCATTGCTCAGGCTCTCCTGGGCGCTGAGGCTGTAGCCCTGGAACTGTGCCTTTCTGCACCATCAGATGTGAACTCAGCTTTGCTCTCTGTGTCCTAGGCAAATATATTCTTGAAAGTCCTAGACATCTCTCACAATGGCTTTGGAGACTCCGGAGCCTCTGCGATAGGTGAGGCCCTCAAGGCCAACAACGTGTTGGAAGAACTAAACATGAGGTGAGAAACAAGGGTGCTGCCCTCGGGGTCACACAGTGATCTAGATGCTGTTCATGCTGCTCCTACTGTGTGGCTTGAGTCTCAATCCTACAGCTCTGTCCTCATTCAGGCTGCTGCTGGGGGCTGGGGTGGGGCTAAGCTGGTGGAATCCTTGCCCAGCATGCCGGAAGGCTGTGGTAAATCAGGAGTGCTGTCTTATGGTTCACTTCTGTGGCTGTGACGGACACAGTGACCAAAAGCTACTTTAGAGGAAGGTTGATGCAGCTTACAGAGCAGTTAGGTGTCAGCATTTCAGGGGACTCCCTCACACGCACAGTCAAGAGCTGAGAGCAGAGCATTTTCCACGCTGCTGCTTGCTGCTGTCTTCACAGCTTCTCCCATTTTACAGCTTACCTGTGGTGCCACCCACATCCAGGTTACTTCCTGCATCAAGTAACAATCAAGACAACCCCCAAAGACATGCTGTAGGCCAACCTGACCTAGATAATTCCTACTCACTGAGACTCTCTTCCAGGTAATTCTAGATTGTGCCAAACTGACAATAAAAACTGGTCAGCACACCCATCCTTTGTTAACTTGACACACAAACACTTTAAGCTGTAATTTCCCATCCTTGGTCCCCCAAGGCATGTTTATTTTACAATGTAAAATATAGTCCTTAAAAATTCCAACACTTGCCAGGCGGTGGTGGCGAACACCTTTAACCCCAGCACTCGGGAGGCAGAGCCAGGAGGATCTCTGTGAGTTCAAGGCCAGCCTGGTCTACAGAGCAAGTTCCTAGACAGGCACCAAAAACTACACAGAGAAACCCTGTCTCAAAAAAAAAAAAAAAAAAAAATTCAACACTTCAGGTTGCTGGAGAGAGGTCTCAGTGATTAAGGGCATATGTTGCTCTTGCAGAGGACCCAGATTTGTTTCCCAGCACCCACATGGTAGCTCACAATAATCCATAATTCTAGTTCCAGAGGATCTGATGCCCTCTTCTGATCTCCATGGGCACCAGGCAACACGTGGTGTGCATATATAGGCATATGCAGGCAAAATGCTCATATACATAGTTTTAAAAAATTCCAACACTTTAAACACCTAAGATCTCTTTGAAAGTCCAAAGTCTCAGTCAGGTGGTGGTAGCACATGCTTTTAACCCCAGCACTCAGGATGCAGAGGCAGGCAGATCTCTGAGTTGGAAGCCAATCTGGTCTACAAAGTGAGTTTTAGGACAGCCAAAGCTACAGAGAGAAATCCTGTCTCAAAAACAAAACAAAACAAAACAAACAAACAAAAAAACCCAAAAAATACTAACAAAACAACAACAAAACGAAACAAACAAAAAAGTCCAAAGTCTCCTTACAAACACAGTCTCTTGGATATTCAAAACATGTACTGCTCTTTCAGAGGACCCAGGTTTGGTTCTCAGCACGCGAATCAGATGGCTTACAACTGTCTACAACTCCAGCTTCAGGGGCACTGGGTAGCTTCTTTCTGAACTCCTCAGGTACTTGCACTCAAAAGTAATTTTAAAAAAGACTTTAAAAGTCCGGAGTCTGTTACTAGAGTCTTATCAAATCAAAAGCAGGCTACATACGTAAACACTCTTATTCCAAGTGGGAAGCACTGGGGAAGTAGAGACAATCACACCTGAGCAAAAGTAAAATGTGGCAGTGTGAATCCAAGCTGTAGCCATGTCCGCCATCTGAGACACATCGTCTCCGGGCCCCATCTCTGCACCCCACCACCTGAAGTACGCAGCTGTCTTCCTAGACTCCACAGCACACCCGCATCTTGGACATCCCAGTCCTGACATTCCAAATATCTGGGGTCTCCATGGCAACCGAGGCCTCCCTTCATCAGTGGCGCCTTCGGGCCTCCCCTCATACGACCAGGAGCATGCCCCAGTTGCTCTCCATGGCCTCCTCGGCCATCCGTCGTCCGGGCTTTCAGAGCCAGTTCTGCGTGGGCTCTACTTCGGACACTGCCAGGTTCTGCCCTCTTCATCCACATGAGATGTAGTCTGGTCTCCTTGGATTCGCTTCTGGTGCCGACCCTGGGGGACACTTCCCTTTTGTCCCTGAGATGCATAGGTCTCACCTCAGTGGTGCTGATCTATTATAATCGCAGCTGATTCTTCAGCCCCAGCTGATCAGCACACATGGGTTTTTAGCCAAAATAGTACAATTAATGATAAAGTCTTTGCTCCTTTCTGAAATGTGATCTGGGGCTTCACTGCTGCTGGCGTTTCAGCATTACTGTCTTTCAAGCATCCTCAAGAACTATCTGGAAAACTCTGGCCATAGCACTCAACGGCTTTTCCAGTCTGAAATTGCAATGTTTTCTATACCTGTCAACCAGCACTTAGGAGGTAGAGGCAGGAAAAATCAAAAGTTCAAGGTCATCCTCAGCTATATAAGAGTTACAGGCTTGACTGGAATGCATACAACTGTCTTTTTTTCTTTTTCCTTTGAGACAGGGTTTTTCCATGTAGCTCTGGCTATCCTAGAACTCACTCACTCTCTCTCTCTCTCTCTCTCTCTCTCTCTCTCTCTCTCTCTCTCTCTCTCTCTCTCTGTAGACCAGGCTAGCCTTGAATTCAGAGATCCACCTGCCTCTGCCTCCCAAGTGCTGGGATTAAAGGCATGCACCAACACCACCCAGCAGACTCTATCTTAAAAAAAGGGGGGGGAGCCGGGCGGTGGTGGCGCACGCCTTTAATCCCAGCACTCGGGAGGCAGAGCCAGGCGGATCTCTGTGAGTTCGAGGCCAGCCTGGACTACCAAGTGAGTTCCAGGAGAGGCGCAAAGCTACACAGAGAAACCCTGTCTCGAAAAACCAAAAAAAAAAAAAAAAAAAAAAAGGGGGGGGGGAGGGGCTGGAGAGATGGCTCAGAGGTTAAGAGCCCCGGCTGCTCTTCCAGAGTTCCTGAGTTCAATTCCCAGCACCCACATGGTGGCTCACAACCATCCGTAATGAGATATGATGCCCTCTTCTGTCCTTCAGGGATACATGCAGGCAGAACACTGTATACGTAATAAATAAATAAACCTTAAAAAAAGAAGAGGAAGTCAGCATTAGGTATGCAGGCTTGGCTTCAGAGATGGGCGATTTGGAGGGGAGGAAGGAGCAGGCTCCAGGGCAGACGTTGTGGGCACAAGACACACGGGAGCATCTTCCGAGCTTAAAGAGCCCAGGAGCTGGCACCCCCTCATCTCCACGGGGCGGGGGGGGGGGCACTTCAAGTGTGCCTGCCACCCATGAGGCAGCAGCATACCCATGTTTTAGACATTGACTGGGGCCTGGGCATGAGTGGGGGGCTGTGCTGAGAAGCCCAATCTGCCAGACGAAACTCCGGACCGAGCCCTGCAAAATGGAGAGCTGTAATACAGATGTCATTTTCTTATTAACATTGTTAGTGGGGTTAGATGTGAAGGGTCCATACATGCCTGCAGAGTGCGCTGACCCGGTTAGCCTCCATTTATTTATTTGTTTTCACTTTTCTCCTCTTCATATGCTTCCCGATCTCTGATAACTACTAGTATATTTTCCAGGCTGTTGTTGTTAGTGTTTGTGTAGGAGAGAAAACTTGTTCTCGGGCATTCTGTCTGGTTTATTTCGCCTAACATAATCCTTCCTGTTCCACCCATTTGCTTCAAATGACACGGTGCTTCTTTCTATTGTAGATACACACTGCCTTTGACCTATCCATCCATGTATCAGTGGGTACCTAGGCTGATTAACTATGATACGTATGTCGCTCTTGTTGCAGAAACAACCGAATCTCCGTGACAGGGGCCCTGAGCCTGGGACTGGGTCTGCAGGTCAACCAGACACTGCGGATTCTTACTGTACGTTCGAGCCTGGCTGGGGAGGCTCCAGCACAGACTGGTCCTGTATCTCCTCATACAGCCCTTTCTCCTGCCAGCCCCTGGCTGCAGAGACAGCACATGGGCGTCTCACCATCTTAGCCTCTTGTGACCACTTCCCACCCCTGACTCTTCCTCTCCACCCTTTACCAGTGGCTGTGACAACTCCTTGCCCTCCTTTCTCCTGCTTACAGGAGTTCCACTGCGGGAGAGCAGCCAGCGCATCCCCCAGTTTCCTTCTGTCTTCTCCCCTGGACTTCTGCTGTCCCCAGGGTCAACTCAGGGGTACTGACTGGCCACAGTTTAGACACGCCTGAGGGTTTTTTTGTGTCCAGAGGGTCATTTCCTCAGGTTTGCAGGGGGGGGGGGGGCACGAGACGGGGTGCCAGCAAAGGCAGATGGGAAGGAGCCAGTGAGGTGAGCAGGTCTCAGCTGTACCAACACGTACAGGGAGGGGGTTGGGGAGTGCGGGTGTATCTCCAACTTGGGGGATGGAGTGCACCTGGCTCTGCCTGGCCCTTAGCTTCCCACTCATTAGCAATCCCACCTCCTGTGACAGAGGAACCAAGACCTATTTCAAGCTTGAGTCCACGTTTCCAGCCACCTGTTAGACTATCTCCAAGTCACAGTGAGTCTCAGAATCCCACCTGGATGAACTACCCGCTTCTTAGGGGACTGGGGCCCCCCGCAGCTCACCTCCACACCTGCAGAGCTCCCTGCTGGGTCTTCCCAATTCTTATTTCTTCTGCCTGGGCTCTATTGACCTACTTCACCAGCCCTTGCAACAGCTGGTGGTTTTCTCAATCAGAAGCATGCCCTGCTATGGACCTTCTTTTCGCCGTTGTTGTCTTGTTAGATTTGTTTTGGTTTGGTTTTTTGAGACAGGGTTTCTCCGTGTAGTTTTCGTGCCTGTCCTGGATCTTGCTCTGTAGACCAGGCTGGCCTCGAACTCACAGAGATCCACCTGGCTCTGCCTCCCGAGTGCTGGAATTAAAGACATGCACCACCACCGCCCGGCTTGTTTTTATTTTTTTTTTTTGGTTTTTCGAGACAGGGTTTCTCTGTGTAGCTTTGTGCCTGTCCTGGAACTCACTTGGTAGCCCAGGCTGGCCTCAAACTCACAGAGATCCGCCTGGCTCTGCCTCCCGAGTGCTGGGATTAAAGGCGTGAGCCACTACCCGCCCGGCCTTGCTTTTATTTTTTATGTGTGTGTGTGCCTGGGTGTATAAATGTAGCAGGGCACCAGATCCCCTGGAACTAGAGTTACAAGCAGTTGTGAGCCACCTCTCCAGCACTTTTGTTTTTTGTGTTTTGTTTTAGCCGGGCGGTGGTGGCGCACGCCTTTAATCCCAGCACTCGGGAGGCAGAGCCAGGCGGATCTCTGTGAGTTCGAGGCCAGCCTGGTCTCCAAAGCGAGTTCCAGGAAAGGCGCAAAGCTACACAGAGAAACCCTGTCTCGAAAAACCAAAAAAAAAAAAAAAAAAATTTTAAGTGTTTTGCTTGCATGTATGTCTGTGTACCACATGTATGCCTGGTGCCTTCGGGAGCCAGAAGAGGGTGTCAGATCCCCTGAGACTAGTGTTGCAGACAGATGAGAGACACTATGTGGGTGCTGGGAATTGAACTTAGGTCCTCTGGAAAAGAAGTCAGTGTCTTAGCCATTGAACTATCTCTTTAGTCCCTTAGTGGGCTCTTACCTTGATAAGTAGTCTTGAACTGCTAATCCTCCTGCTTCCACCTCCTGAGTGCTGAGACTATGGGCATGGGTCCTCATAAGAGGCTCTAGTATCCGAGTGTGTTCATCTTTCTCAGATTTCCAAGAATCCCATTCAAAGTGAAGGATATGTCAGCCTCCTTAAGTCCATCCGGAACAACAGATCGTCTGCCCTGGAACTACTGGACCTCTCTGTAAGAGCTTCTTCTGAGCCTCATCTGTGATCTGCCAGGAGCTCTGTGGGCTACTGACATCTCCACCTTAGAGGGATGATGTGGGAGTCAGCTCTATCTATCTATCTATCTATCTATCTATCTATCTATCTATCTATCTAACTCTCTTTTGAGACGAGGTTTGTCTGTAGCTTTGGAACCTGTCCTGAAACTCAGGCTGGTCTCGGACTCACAGAGATCTGCCTGCCTCTGCCTCCTGAGTGCTGGGATCAAAGGTGTGCGCCACCACCACCTGGCGGAAATCAGCTCTCTTATCCCACGCAGATACACTGCCTGGTAGACTTGGCATTTCAATCCCAGACTGTGGGCCATAAAGCCACTCTAACTCTGTGTCATTGTATGTTGGACGTATATAATTTAAAATTTTATGTTACATGGGGTTACAAGTAAGAGATTGCCTTGAGTCTCTGAAAGACTCTGGACTTTTAAACAGTCTTTTATTTTATTTTATTTTGAGATGGAATATCTCTATGTAGCGCTGACTGTCCTGGAAGTTGGTACATAGACCAGGCTAATCTTATATACTTGTGTGTATACTCACAGAGATCCGCCTGCCTCTGCCTCCCAAGTGCTGGGATTAAAGGCATGCTGCCACACCTGGGTTTTTGTTGTTGTTGTTTTGTTTTGTTTTGTTTTTTCGAGACAGGGTTTCTCTGTGTAGCTTTGCGCCTTTCCTGGAACTCACTCTGTAGACCAGGCTGGCCTTGAATTTACAAAGATCTGCCTGGCTATGCCTCCCAAGTGCTGGGATTAAAGGCGTGCGCCACCACCGCCTGGCCCACACCTGGTTTTTAAACAGTCTTGAGACTGAAAGACTGTGGGAACTTTTTTTTTTTTTTTTTTTTTTTTTTTTTTTTTTTTTCTCGAGACAGGGTTTCTCTGTGTAGCTTTGCGCCTTTCCTGGAACTCATTTGGTAGCCCAGGCTGGCCTCGAACTCACAGAGATCCGCCTGGCTCTGCCTCCTGAGTGCTGGGATTAAAGGCGTGCGCCACCACCGCCCGGCGACTGTGGGAACTTTTAAAGTTGGACTAAATGCATTTCACATTATGATATGGCCACAAGCCTATGAGGTCCAGGAAGTGGAATGTTGTGGTTTGAATAAGAATGGTCCCCATACACTCATATGTTTGAATGTTTGAGTCCCCAGCTGGTGGAACTGTTTGGGAAGGATTAGGAGGTGTGGCTGAGGTGTGTCATTGGGGGTGGGCTTTGAGGTTTCAAAAACCCATAGCATTCTCAGCATGCTCTCTCTGTCCCTGTCTCATGCTTGTGGATCATATATATGTACGCTCTTAGCTACTGCTCAGTGCCATGCCTGCCTGCCGCCATGCTCCCCACCTGATGGTCATGGACTCTAACCAGTACTTGGTGGGGTGTGTGCAATTGGGCAGTTCAGAAGTTCAAGGCTGGCATCAAGTACACAGTGAGCTTCAGGCCAGACTACACTACATGAGACCTTGTCTCAAAACATAAACAAAAACAAAAAAACAACAAAAACTGGATTGAAAGCTGCACATAGATTTAACACAGCTATCAAATAAATACTCATGTAACTGAGCCAGATCAAGAAACAGAACACACATGTCTTAGCTACTTTCCCATTTCTTACAAAACACCATGACTAAGGCAACTTATAAAAGAAAACATTTAATTTTGGACTCATGGTTTCAGAGAGTGAGTCCATGACCAGTGTCCTAGTAGGGTTTCTGTTGCTGTGAAGAGACACCATGACCACAGCAACTGTTACAAGGAAAACATTTGATTGCGGTAGCAGCTTACAGTTTCAGCAGTTCAGTCCATTATCATCACCATGGAGAGCATGGTGGTGTGCAGGCAGACATGGTGCTGGCTACATCTTACAGGCAACAGAGGTCACCTGAGACACTGGGTGGTGTCCTGAGTGTAGGAAACCTCAAAGCCCACCCGCACAGTGACACACTTCCTCCAACAAGGCCACACCCACTCCAACAAAGCCATACCTCCTAATTGTGCCATTCCCTATGAGATTATTCAAATTACATTCAAACTACCACAGCCATCAGGCAGGAGCACAGCAGCAGGCAGGTAGGCATGGCACCAGGGCAGTTGCTGAGAGCTCACCCCCTTATCTACAAGTGTGAGGCAGGGAGACCTAACCTGGAATGGTGTGGGATTTTGAAAACTCAAGCTGAACCTGGGTCCCTGCCACCCCCAGTGACACACCTCCTACAACAACAACACTTCCTAATCCTTCCTCAAACAGTTCAACCAACTGGGCATCTCATATTCAAATACGTGAGCCTATGAGGGTCATTCTTATTCAAACTACCACAGGGACCCTTCTAGCTCCTTTACTAAAGGCCTCCTTGAGTTCCTTTACTTTCCTACTTTAATAATATGGGGGGAGGGGTCGTGAGATCATGGAGGAGGGGTCATGAGATCACAGGGGAGGGGTCATGAGATCATGGGGGGTCATGAGATTGTGGGGGAGGGGTCATGAAATTGTGAGGGAGGGGTCATGAGATCATGGGGGAGGGGGTTATGAGATCATGGGGGGGTCATGAGATCGTGGGGAAGGGGTCATGAGATCACAGGGGAGGGGTCATGAGATCATAGGGGGGGTCATGAGATCACGGGGAAGGGGTCATGAGATTATGGGGGAGGGGTCATGAGATTGTGGGGGGGTCATGAGATCATGGGGGGTTATGAGATCATGGGGGGTTATGAGATCATGGGGGGGTCATGAGATCGTGGGGAAGGGATCATGAGATCACGGGGAAGGGGTCATGAGATCGTGGGGGGGTCATGAGATCATGGGGAAGGGGTCATGAGATCACGGGGAAGGGGTCATGAGATCATGGGAGAGGGTCATGAGATCATGGGGGGGTCATGAGATCATGGGGAAGGGGTCATGAGATCATGGGAGAGGGTCATGAGATCATGGGGGGGGTCATGAGATCGTGGGGAAGGGGTCATGAGATCACGGGGAAGGGGTCATGAGATCGTGGTAGTCCACAAGAGAGAAAAATGCCCAAAAGAACTCTTAGACCTGGGTATGCAAATGAGAATAATCAAATCCTCAGAAAGTGCTAATAACTGTCTCCTAATGGCTCTTCTTAGGATGTCCAAGTGAACAGAGAGTGTGATGACCTTGCTAGCTCAGTGAATGTAATTCTTCCAGGACTTTGTATAAAGAATAACACTTTCAGAAGAAAAGACTATCCACCAGCCTCCACACCATCCCAGCTAGCATCTGCCCCAAGTGGCTCTGGTCTCATCTCTAGTATGCCACTCTAATGTCTACACTGATGCCCATTCCACATGGCCTCTGCCATAATCTGGGCTTCATTTGCTATGGCTCATTCATTCAACCAAAAAACCTCCCATGAACAACATGGACACAAGGACAATGACATCCCTGTCATCTAGGTGTTCATGTTCTGGTGACCCTGTTAGACAAAATATAAGGAGAGATGGAATTCCCAAGCTCTTGAAAGAAGGCAAACAGTCACAACCCACTGGAAGGCAATGTTCCATTACTAATGTTCCAAACTGTAAAATCACCTGTGTGCTTCAGTCTAGCTGACGGACTGATCTGCTCGACAGAAATAACCAGAGCCTCAGAGAAAAACTGCTGCTGACTACCGGGTATGTAACTCAGTGGAGTGCTTGGTTAGCATCCAGAAAGCCCTGGGTTTGATTCCATGGCACCAGATAAAGAAGCACAATTATTTGTGCACTCCAGAAGTGTACTCCAAAAGTGTAAGCAGGAGAAACAAAAGTTCCAGGCCATCCTCCACAATATAGTCCAGTTTGAGGCCAGCCTGGGCTACATAAGACTCTGTCTCAAAAAAGAAAAATAAAAAAGGTATCTATAGAGCTGGTAGCACATGCCTATGATTCTGGCCCTTGGAAGACTGAGTCAGAGAGAGCATAGTGACTTAAGACCAGACTGGGATACACAGCACAGCCCTGCATAAAAGAAACACTCATGTCTGAAGACATTCACTAAAGCCAGCTATTTGTAATGATGAAAACTGGAAACAAGCAAAATGCCCAAAAACTAAGATTTGGAACTCTGCTAATGTTCAGAGCCAGTAATCCAAGAACATGGACAATTCATGATGATAAACATAATTAATGTTGTGTGGGAATATCAGAATCATGTGGTTTTCTGGTAGTTCCTTAAAAGGTTCATCAGAATTACCATGTATTAAAATATGAATGTTTTCAAGAGAAGTGATAACACATCACACAAAAACTTGTGAGTGGAAGCCAGGGTGATAGCTCAGAAGGTAAAGATTCTTGCTGCCAAGTGATGAGCAGAGCTTGCTCTCCAGACCCCACATGGTGGAAGGAAAGAATGGGTCCCCACAAGTTGTCCTATGACCTCCACACATATGCTGTGGCAATGTGCCCCTCTGCACACATTAATAAAAAATGTGATGAGGATAATTTTAAAAACACCTCAAACTGTTCTTAGCGACATCATTCATAATATCCAGAATGTCCAAAAGATACCAGTGGATAAATACAATTGGTATACACACACAGTGGAATACTATTTGACCACAACAGAATAAATTTTTGGGGTGATTAATGTTATAAAGTTGATTATGGGTGATTGTTATACAACTGTGAATATTGTAGAAGTCATTCTAGTCAATGCATCGCTTTGAAAGAATGAGTAAGTTACATCACAATAAAGTTGCTTTTGAAGGAAAACAGTCCCTGCATGGATGGAACTTTAAACATGCTGAGACGTTAGTCAAAGATCATGTATTGTATGATTCTCTTTCTGTGAAATGTCCAGATTATACCAATCCACACACATGGTAGACTCTAGGGTATGGAGAATCCAGGATGATTGACAGCTACTCTACTCTAGGGTATAGAGAATCCAGGATTGACAGCTATAGGATATGGGTTTCTGTTTGTTACTTTTTTATTGGTGTGATAAATCACCATGAACAAGGCAACATATAAAAGAAACTGTTTGGGGCTGGAGAGATGGCACAGCAGCTTAGAGCACTGAATACTCTTCCAGAAGACAAGGGTTCAATTCCCAGCACCCACATGGCAGTTTACAACTATCTCTTAACTTCAGTCCCAGGGGAACCAACACCCTCTTCTGGCCCCCAAGGGGCACTGCATGCATGTGGTACATAGACATACAGGCAGGCAAAAATACCTATACACATCAAAAAATTTAAAAAGTAATGAAAATAAAGAAAAGCATTTAATTTGGTTTATGGTTTCAGAGGGTTAGAGTCCATGATGAGTGAATGAAGGAAAGCCGAAAGTTCACATCTTGATCCACAACCACAGGCAGAGACAGCACTAGGAATTGGAGTCTTCTGAAACCTCAAAGCCTGCCCCAGTGACACACCTGCCCCAAGGCCACAGATCCTAATCTTTCCTGTGTTAGGGTTCTCTAAAGGAACAGAACTGATAGACTGAAATATATATATATATATATATGAGATAATTTACAGTAGCTTACAGGATACGGCCCAAATAGTCCAACCAAGTCTGATGGAAAGGCCAAAGGGGACTGAGACTAGATGTCTCAGCAGTTCCATCTGTGGCTGGAGTCCCAGAGAAGTCCTAGACAGCTGCCATCTTCAATCTACATTAGAATCCCAAAGAAGTCAGTTCTAACATTAGCAAAGGAACGCCTCAGGAACGAGATAGAGGATCTTGCCAGTAAGAGTGAGTGAGGTCGCCGGGCGGTGGTGGCACACGCCTTTAATCCCAGCACTCGGGAGGCAGAGCCAGGCGGATCTCTGTGAGTTCGAGGCCAGCCTGGTCTCCAAAGCGAGTTCCAGGAAAGGCGCAAAGCTACACAGAGAAACCCTGTCTCGAAAAACCAAAAAAAAAAAAAAAGAGTGAGTGAGGTCAAGCAGGCAAAAAAGCAAACCCTTCCTTCTTCTTCCCAGTCCTTTTCTGTGGGGTGCTCTACATTTACAGTAGTTCTTCCAACTTCAATTGATCCAAGGGTGAGTCTTCCCACCTCAAATGATCCAGTCAAGGAAAACACCCCCATGGGTGTGCCCATCTGCTTGAGTTTTAGTTGATATCAGATGTAGTCAAGATGGCAACCAAGATTAGCCATTACAAGTCTACTCCTTGTCAACTTGACACACACTCATATCTCCTTGTGTCATACTTAATTTCCAAATGAAAACATAATTATGCCTAACATACTATAACTATTCCATGTATAGCCACAAACGCATTATATATTTTAGAATAGGTGGCAATGTTCCTTGAGGGACAGTCTCTCAGTGTTTTATAACTTAAATATGATAGCCACTGATATTATCTCAATTGATGTTACATTACATGATAAAGAAATCAAGGAAAGAAGACACAGATATCTGTACAAACACATACAAAATATGACAGAAATACTCATGTAAGTTTTAATTTGTCTCTGCAAATGGTCACGTGGCCTTAGCTGGTATTTCTAACCACCTTCTTCCACTACCCATTCTGCATTTCCTCCATCCTCAGCAGGTCTTGACTTTTCCTGGAGGAAACCATACCTTCATTCCTGAAGGGTCTGTGCCCTTTGTCATCCTTCCTGGATCAGGCTGTTGTAGTTTCCCATTCACTTTAATCACAGGACATGGTAGCACCAAGAGACCCTAAAGGATCTCCTGCACTGCAGACATAATCTATCCTCCTCCATTGGGGGAAGCAATCCAATTTCCCCTTGGTAATCTGGATCAGTCACCCCTCTTAATATTGGTGTGTCTTTCTTAGCCTGTTGGCTTAAGGGCATCAGAAGCCCACAGTGGCCAGGGGAAGTCAGCTTCCAATCCAATGGAATGTTTGCTGTGTCTCCTGACAGGAGAGCTTCTCCATCTAGAACTAAAACTTCTAGGCCAGCAGAACTTAAGGTTTCAGGAACAGGAAGCAAAAAATGTTCCTAGTGGGTCACTAAGGGTGATAGTGAGTGGAACCATTTCCTCTTCCACCCCTTGATTCTTGGACCTGTGGATCTTGGCTAGGGGAGAAACTGTACCATATATTGGATGCTGATTCAAAGCATATAGTGCCTTAAGGAGAGCCTGCCCCAGCTCTCCAGGCTGCTACCATCTAATTGGTGCTGTAACTGTGTTTTCAAAAGGCCCTTCCACTGTTCTATTAGGCCAGCTGCTTCAGGATGGTGGGGGACGTGGTAAGACCACTGGATTCCATGAGCTGTGAAGTGAGCTCATTGGTCAGAAGCACTGCTGTGTGGAATCATGTCTATGAATAAGACATTCTACAAGTACAGCTGCCATGAGGATCAGCCTCCCGCAGTGCAGGGCTGATGGGGATCCATGGAGTCGGTGAGCTAAGACTTTTTTATCTGAGGGAGTAAGGGGAAAGACACACTCTCTCTCTTGATGGTTTCCTTCTGTCTTCGTCTTTGTTCTTCTTCCTCTTATTTTTTTCCTCTACAATTTTCTTGGTGTTTCCTTCTGTCATTCTTGATGTCTTTCTTCTAACTCACTTTATTTTTTCCCTTACATCTTATATACCCCAGTAGAATCTTTCAAGCAATATAAAAATTATAATGTGGTTACATTCTATCTTTCAAGTGAATGATTACAATGAATACAAGTAAAAACAGCACGTTTTCCATACCCCTTACATGATTAAACATTTTAGGTATTACAGGTGAAAAACAAGTTGTCCCAAGAACCCACATACAGTCATGTCCAAGCAACTTGTTATACATTAACAGAGTGTGAGCAAGCAAGGCATTTTTCTCAGCCAGTTCTTTTGCTGGCAGGCTGCATATTGCAGTTACAAAGAAAGGACCAATCATTTTATTATTTATCTCAAAAGGCAGTCTTATAAGAAATCTTTGAAGAATCACAAATCTAAACTTTTATATATAAAAACAGTCAGTCAGCTCTACTTTAAATCTTTAGGGTACACACCCACTAATTAACAGTTTTTTATGATCAGGAAGCTGAGAGTAGAAATGGGTAGAAGGAATTAACATCATCCTATCCTAACGAGAAAGGCACATCAGCTAATAATAATTGGACTGCTTTGTTTTTGATCCCTGACCTTAATGAGTCCCTCACTCAGCTACATGTCTTTCTAAAACTTCAGATTGTCTTCTTGGGTTTTTTTACCTCAAAGCTATTGGGCAAAAACATCTTAGTCTGCCGGGCGGTGGTGGCGCTCGCCTTTAATCCCAGCACTCGGGAGGCAGAGGCAGGCAGATGTCTGTGAGTTCGAGGCCAGCCTGGTCTACAGCGCGAGATCCAGGAAAGGCGCAAAGCTACACAGAGAAACCCTGTCTCGAAAAAACAAAATAAAAACAACAAAAAAACAAACAAACAAAAAATCTTAGTCTAACTTTAAGTTATTTTCAAAGCTTTGTTTCAGCTATGATGCACTCTGAAACCTGTGAACACATCTCCCAACATTAAGATTAAAATAATTTAAGTTAGCTGGGCTTCTGGGATTCAGTTGTTTTTCTTTTTTGGTTTTAGTTTTTCAAGACAGGGTTTCCCCATGTATTTTTGGTGCCTGTCCTGGATCTTGCTCTGTAGACCAGGCAGGCCTCAAACTCACAGAGATCTGTCTGGCTCTGCCTCCCGAGTGCTGGGATTAAAGGCATGCACCACCGCTGCCTGGCCTCAAAATCCTATTTTAATTGACACTATTATTGTATAAAATCATTGCTTTGGTTAAACATTACAGCTTATGAGGAAATCATCTTCATAATAATCCACAGGTAAAAATTCCCAGTAGAATGGGTTATTTCCAAGAGATGATCATATTGCATTAAGGACAGTGAGGATCTCCCCACACCCATTCACACCGTGCCAGATACCAGAGAAAAATGGCAGCAGCAAACCCGCACAGACACAACAGTAGCAAGAGACATTCTGGGCCGAGGCTCTCAGGGCCTTGCCTGTCCGAGATTACTGACCACGGTTTTGTTTCCTGGAGGGCCGATCCCCTGAAGGCAATTGCCATCGCTGCTCCTCTGACATGACCACTGGCACATGGGTGGTGATTTGGCAGAAGCATTATGTAGAAGGGCAAATCCATAACCAGAATAAGTATCTACTCCAGTAAGGACAAAGCATTGCCCTTCCCACAAAGGAAGTGGTCCAATGTAGTCTGCCACAGACTGCTGGCAGGTCACTCTGGGGAATGGTGCCATATTAAGGACTGTGTTGATCTCTGGCAGACTGATACTCAGCAGCAGAACAGTCAGATTGGTTTTGCTGAGTGGAAGTCCATGTTGTTGAGCCCAGGCATAACCCCATCTCTGCCACCATGGCCACTTTGTTCATGGGCCCATTGGTCAGTGACAGGGATGACTGGGGAAAGAAACTGACTGTCCACAGAACGGGTCATCCCACCTACTTGATTAATGAACTCCTCCTCAGCTGTGTCAGGGACAAGGACAGAATCTCTAAGGACAGGCAACTAGATCATCTTACAGTCAGGTTGCCTAGCAACAGGACATTGAGGCAGAGCCCTTGACCCTTTCACCTTGTAAACATCCTATACAAACATCCTGTTAGCTTGCCCCACCTTATGCAGATGACAGCTTCTTGCTCCCCCCACCCTGCAGGAACTATATAAACTTTCTTGGAGAAAAATAAAGTTGCACCTTGATCAGAATCTAGACTTGGTGTATTTCCTTGTATCTCCTGTCCCTATCATTCCGTCCTTAGGGTGGTCGAGAACCTGT